GACCGGCGGCAGGACCTGTCGGTGGTCCGCTGAGGGACCCTCCTCTCGAAGCGATTGGTGTGCGGGAAGAATAAGCAAAAGGAGTGCCCGGCACAGCAGGGGTGTTTGGAGTCACGTTGCTGAAAGTGCCTCCAGGCGTCGGTCTGCCGCCCGAAGTGGAGCTAGCGCTCGTCGCGATCGAATTCAATTGCGAAAATGACAATCTAGAGAGACCAGGGGGCGGCGCCATTGCCGGTCTAGCTTGCTGAGATTGTGAGCCTGTTTGCTGTCGCGAGTGGACGCTGCTCTGAGATGCACTCGCATATGAGTCTTGGCGGGCATGCTCCGCAACCGCAGGCTCGACCGATTGGCCCACGGACGTTTCCGCCTGGGACGCCTGCTGTTGATGTAGGTGGGAGTGATATCGTTCCGCCTCTATTTCCGCGTTGTCGCGCAACGAAGAATCTACCTGACTGTGTTCATCTGCATAGGGGGGATACGCAGGGTGCAATTCGCCTTGTTCGGGTTGCACTGCTTGCTCTTGTTCGCCGGCATCGCGCATGGTCACCTCGGATTGTCCGGCGTGCAGGTAATTTGGCACCGGCAGCAGGTCACTGACGAGTGGTGCGCCACCAGCATCCTTTTTACGCGCAAGCGATCTTGCTGGAGGGTCAGGGGGTCTGTGAAATGCAGTTCCTGCTGGTCCAGTGCCAGCGTGGTGGTGTGCCCCTCTGGGACCAGAAACAGGAGGAAGTCCCATTCTCCTACGATACGAAGGGCCAGTGGGTGGTCGAACATTACCAAAAGTGCTTGCTGGTCCGGTAGGCGTGGCTGATTTGGACGCCTCTGTCTTTGCAGTGTCCGTGGAGGTTGCGGGACGTGACGAGCCCGTTCCGTTGGGCGGGGAGGCACGTGAGACTTGCAGTTCGCGGTCATTGCTCGCCCCGACCCCGGCGGAAGACTTGCGGGCACGCCGCTCTGCCTCAGACGTGGTGGTCGCGTGGCGTGTGCTGGCTTCTGGAGAACGCGATCGGTGCGCAGGGCTCCGCGCTTGTCTCCGCGGTTCTGAGGGAGCACGTGAAGAAGCGTTCTCCCGTCGATCTGGCGTCCGATCTCTTTGTGGTCTTGACGAAGCCGGCCAGAAACGAACAGTGTCACCATCGCGCTCGTCTTTGCGATCGGAGAGGGCAGCTCGATCGCTTTTTGCCAGTGGTGCACGCGCAGAATAAATCTCTCGGTCTCGCTGGCGCTCCCGCTCCCACTCTAATTCGCGATCTCTTCTGTCTCTCGCTCTGGCGCGTTCTGCGTTGGCGTCCCATTCGCTTCTCTCCCTTTCGCGGCTTCGAGGCCGAGCACGATCGAGTGGACTGACTGCTCGACTAGCTGTACGGCTGTGTCCCTGCGATTGCGACTGGCTTACTGGGCTTCTGCTCGTCCTGCCGCCGAGTCTCGAAGTCTCGGCATCTGGCAACGCTTCGTGTCGCGATGGCGTGGAGTAGCGGCTGCGATTTGCCCTGCCCCAATCTCTGTCGGGGTCTGGCCCGCGCCTATAGCTGTCCATGTCCCAATCCCTCTCCCTCTCCCTTGGCCTCGGTGCGCTGTTGTAACCTCTGGCAATCACGGGCTCGTCGTACCGACTTCTTGGAGCTGCGCGTACTGGAGAGCGGTGGCGTGGTTGATAGGAGCTTCGAGAATACCTGGGAGGCGACCTCTCTCGGGGTCCTCTGACAGTGCGCTCTTCGAACGGCCTGTTGCGCGGGTTGAGCCTATCAAGATCTGCGGTGAACGACACCGAGGGGCTCGCTTGACGGGTGGAG